ATGTTCAGGGATAACAAACCCTTCTGGTTGTTCCATATAGATTTCTTCATCTAGATCACCGTTCAAAAAAGCAGTCTTAACATCCATTTGGTGTACCACGAGATTGTTCAAGGCAGCAAGAGCAATCATGACACGAATGGATGTTATTCTAGATACTGGTGAATAGGTGTCGAAGAAATCTATATTCTCTCTCTGCCTGTAGCCCTTGACTACTAGGCGAGCTCGGAACCTTTCGATTGCACCATCAGGTTTCCGTTTCGTTTTTAGAACCCATTTATTACCTAAGACTTTGCAGCCAGGAGGTAAGTCTGTTAGATGCCAAGTCTTATTAGCCTCTAACGATTCCATTTCATCTATAACGGCCTCATTCCAAAAGTCTGCATCTATGGAAGTTAGTGCTTCCTGCAAACTTTTTGGATCCTCTAGGGTGTATACTGTAGTAAAGTCATCACCAAAATCTTTAGAGATTCTAGCTCTTTTACTTCTTCTGAGTTCATCCTCAGATCCAACACCCCCACTTGTTCCGTTATCTCTAATAGCGGGTAGTACATTACCCCCACTATTTCTCGTTTTAAATGGAAATCGTGTCTCAAAGAAATCAGCATCAATGGATTCTATTACTGTACGAGCATTCAAATCATAGAATCTATATGCCTTACTATTGGCCGCATAGCCAACGAAGACACATTCATATGCTCGACTAGCCAACTTAACCCTCTTAGGATCAGGAATTCTTACGTAGGCCAAACAGCCCCACGTTCTTAAATAGGACAGATTAGGTGGCTTATTCTTCAAGATCTCATAGGGTGATTCTTTTCTATTTGTTTTTGGAAGACGATTTAGCACATAGCAAACCGTCAACAAAATATCACCCCACCAAGAAGAAGCAGCTCCAGAATTGAGCATAATAGCCACAACTAATTCTGTAAATGTCCTATTTTTCCGCTCAGCTTTACCATTCATCTCTGGTGAATATGGTGCCGTGGTTTCATGAATGATACCATGTGAGCTATAGAATTCCTTGAAGGGATTAGAGTCATACTCTGATCCTCTATCGCTCCTAAGTCTTTTTATCTTTCGATTGCACTGATTTTCGAATTCAACCACAAATACCTTGAACATGTCAAGGGCTTCACTTTTGTTTTTCATCAAATAAACAAAGCAATAATCAGAGCAATCATCTATGAAAGTGATAAAGTATCTCTTGCCAGACCTAGTTAACGTCCCATCTAGTTCACAAATATCAGAATGAATCAGATCTAAGGGTTCTGATTCTCTACTCACAGATTTATGGGGCGTTTTCGTTATTTTAGCTTGGCTACAGAAATCACATTTATCAAATTCATTCATTGAGAGTTTAGGGATATGCCCTAGCTTGCTTAAATTCTTCACAATTCGTGTGTTCACATGACAAAGACGAGCATGCCAAACATTCAAATCACACACCATGTAAACTGAAGAATTCATCTTATTAATTTCGACATTCAATTTGAACATCCCATTACATGCATATCCCTTTCCCACAAAACTCCCATTCTTAGTAAGGGTATACAAGTCTGCCCCAATAGATTGATTAAACCCAGCCTTATTAAGAAGATATCCCGAAACAAGATTCTTCCTTATCTCTGGAGTGTGCAACACATCCTTAAGCACCATCTTCTTCCCAGAGGTGAAGTTCAGCTCCACTTCACCAGAACCAGCAACCATAGTGGTGTGAGTAGTCCCCAACAACACTTTCTTGTCAGCAGGTGCTTCTTCGTATGTTTTAAACATAGCACGATTGTTGCATACATGCTTCGATGCACCTGTATCCAGCCACCATCCTTCTGAGTCACCGGTGAGGTTAACTTCAGCAATCATATCTGTGATCATGGCTACCAAATCCTCTTCTGTCAAGTTAACCCTGGCCGCAGCGGCGGGGTTATGCTTGTTCCTGCACTTTTTTGCCATATGACCCGGTTTTCCGCAGTTAAAGCAGATAAACGGTGGGTCATTCTTAGAGGTTTGGGCCATGACCCTTTGGTTACCTCGAGAGGCACCATTCTGGTGGGGGCGGACCTGCTGGTTCTTACCCTTAAACCCTTTCTGGTTAGGTTTAAGAGCTCTAGGGGTGGGTCGTTTAGCAGTGACGACCATCACCTCTTCTTTCATATCCTGCTTGCGGGACTCTTCCTCAATCCTTAGGCGAGTAATCAAACTTTCCAGTGAAAATTCTTTGGTTTTATGTCTAAGCATATTCTTAAAATCTTTCCACGAAGGGGGCAGCTTATCAATAATGCAAGCAACTTGAAATTGATCGTCCAGAGGCATACCTTCAGAGACGATCTCGTGAGCTATTTTCTGAAGTTCGTGGGACTGAACTTCGACAGACTTGTCATCCACCATCTGATAGCGCAGGTAGCGGCTGACAGCATACTTCTTAGCTCCAGCCTCCTCCGTGTCGTACTTCTTTTGGAGCGCATCCCAGACCATCATTGCGGTGTTCTTGCTGTCCGCATAGTAGTCGTAGAGGTCGTCTGCCAGGCCGTTGAGGATGTAGCCCTTGCATAGGAAGTCATGCTCCCTTTCCTTAGCAGCAGCAGTCCTCTCCTCATCGGTCGCTTCTTCCGGCAGCTCGACGGGCATGCTAGTGAGGCAATGTGCCAACTTCTTGGTCGTTAGGTAAAACTCCATCTTTTGTTTCCAGCGACGAAAGTTGACTCCAACGAAGCGAAACGGTCGATTGATATCGACAGCACCAGATCCGGCCATGTTGTTCTGTTCAGTCGACATAGCAGCAGCCGAACGTCTTAAAATTGTTAGAAACGGAACAACAACAAGATGAGGATACCGAATCTGGAGCTGAGTCGCGGACTAGGTCGCTTTCTTTAAGACGTTCGCGGCACTGCCCTCGATGCGCACGGCAGACTATCAACCGGTCGTCTCCAGGATAAAACAGCTCCTCTGTGTACTCGCGGTTTTGTGCGAAAACCGGAGCTCTCTGAACACTCTCTCTATTGTGTTTATGCTCGTTGTTGTGTGTTTAGAGGGGCTGGGGAGGCGGCTATTTATAGGAGCCGAACCCCTAGGAATATACCCTCTTGCTTGGGGAATAAGTTGGATTAATTAAGGAAGATAATTACTTCCTTAATTAAAACCGTCGGTTAGGATAAATCCTGCGGAGATTATCCTTCGAATATTCCTTTTCAATCGATTATCCCTTGGAATATTCCTCAGAGTAACCGATTAATAATTAATTATTAAATAATTAATTTCGTTCGGAATTTCTCCAAAAAATATGTATATAGTCTCAAGTGATCCATCCATCCAACCAACCAACCAACCAACCGACCGACCGGCCGGTCGGACGGCGCGCGCGTGTGTGGTGGTCCGTTAGGTCCTCCCTCTCCCACAAAAGTGGGTCACCCCAAGGGGCATGCCCTTAGGAGAGAGGCTCCTATCTTTATAATCACTTCACCAAGTAAAACTACCAATGTGGTAGTTTTTCCACTTGAGACTCTATAGCTTTCAAAGCTATTCATACACATTTCCAACAGGGGGAGTCATCGACGTGGAGTGTGCTTGTTCGGATATTCGGCGGAGAACGGGCAGCCAGCCGTCGTCAATCGCCGGAACTACGTACCGAGAAAGCGGCCGGCGGGAAGGAACTAGATCTTGCGGGTAGAAATGAAGAGAAGAACGAGAGAAGTTCCCGTCCGGATTTCCTTTACTCTCACGGAAGCGGAACCCTACCAAATCAATGGGTTTGAGATATTTTGAATTCCTACTCAAAAGCTGAGAAGGAAAGCAAAAAGCCATACATATATATGTTGAAGGAAAAGAATGGACTCCAACACAACACAACACAACTGAAAATACGCTTTGATTACCGTACCTTTAATTAAGTGTCTGTTTGGCGACGCAAAGGGTGGCGCGCGATCAGTTTCCCCTCGAACAAGGCACATTCGTTGGATGGAGGGGAGGCAAGCAGGACAGCAAATGAGCCGCACGGCTCACGAGCTGCTCAGCGTTTGACTCGAAAAATACTCATTCGATAGTAAATGAGTGAGGTCAAGTTAGACTTTGTTGAGCTTATTTTGTGAGTTACCTTGTTTTGAGCTATGAGCTTCAAAATTGGTGAAGAATTGTCTTAAAAAAATTCGACCAACATCTGTGACGAATAACCTTCAAAAGAAGTAATTAGTAGCTTCAAAATCGTATAGATTTAAAAACAATTGACAAAATTGTGATGGATATCCATTAAAAAGTGATTAATATCTTTCAAAATGGGTGAACAATGGCTTTCCAACCGACTTAGCGAGTCTAATACCGGAAAACAATCTTTTATTACCTCCGGTTGGCCAAGGACAAGTATCTCTTTAATTTTTTCTTTTTTGTGATGGATATCCTGAAAAGAACAATAGATATTGTAACATCTTAGGCAAATCCCACATCGACAAAGTACGGGAGAGATTTATGGTTCATAAGTAAGAAACCGACTTTAACAGACAAGACGCGTTTTGGAGTGTAATGGAGGAGTTCTTGTGAGAACTCCGAAATTAAACATGCTCAGTGTGGAGTACAACAAGGATTGGTGACCTTATGAGAAGTCACATTGAATTGCACCCCAAGTCGAAAACCGTGAGGGTCGAGGGCCCAAAGCGGACAATATCTTTGTCGGGAAAAGATTCGGGATGTTACAGATATACCATAAAAAAAAACATTTTTGGGTTGAATTCCCAAATTGAAAAGAAAGGATGATGGTCGATCGAAAGTCAAACTATCGATAATAGATTTTTTTTTTTTTTTTTGCTACGATATAAATAAAATTTTGCTACTTTATAGATGAGTCCATAACTTAATTTACATCCTTTGCAGGGTACAAGTAAAGGACTGAGCCCTGTATGCAAAATGGAAGCAGTTCAACGTACCGCTGCAAATCTACTAGAAAAAATAACACCCATATATGGAACATATTCACATAAAGACAAATGAAACCAATACAATATATACAAATGCATGGCTTTGGGATAATCAGGGTTGTGTGGCTGGGGCTACAACCAATTTTGTGCTATCAGTTTCACCTGTTAAACGAATCAAAACATAGTCTCAGCTACGCATGTCCAAGGAGCTAGGAAAAAAGACGAAGCAGGCCTATGAGGCTTCATATAGATCTAACACCGCATCACAAAGTCATATGATAACCGAGATCGATCTAGCTAGTTTGACTATCACACAACTTGTCAACTCATTACAAACAACTGAGTTAATTAAGAAGCTCAATCAGTAGTGAAGATAACTCATATGAAGCTTTGTGTGTAAAGCAACAAAAAAAGAGAAGATCAGGCATCTGGATTCTGGAACCAAGAAGATTTCTGGAAATATGCGGAAAGAAAAGGTGGAACGGACATACAAATGCCAGATCGTATGGAAACACTTGCCTTTTTTTCCTCTTCTTCTCGCTTGCATGCAACTTGATGATGTAGCTGTGCTTTCCCTTCGCCATTCTGCTCTTGCTTCAGACTTTCTTCCATTTGAGCTGCTTTCTCCTTCTTCTGCTTCCTCCCTACTTCATGCTGGCAATTTCCTCTCCTTTCGCCTCCACCATATTTGGTATTGGAAGCTAATGAAGGTCGAACAATGAGTGGATTAGCTAACAGTTTGAGGTCACTGATCACTGAACTGTGGATTTTATCCTTTAGTCAGCAAAATCTTCACTGAAACTCGCAATTGTATCCTTGCACACATAAAGATCAATTACACCATATCAAATAATTGGTAAATGATGTAGTTGAAAACCTGGAAGTCCCCAGCTTCTCCACTTTAACTTCCTTTCACAAGGCTGGAATGCGAGCAGATCGATTCAGACATCCTAGCTAATCAATACATAAAAAGAACATACTACAAGGTACAGGCAAATCAGGATTCCAGACTACTGATAAACTTTAGATTACATGGTATGCTCGCAATTCGATGGTGTACCGTGTGCATACTAGATCACTAATGCTCTCATCAAAGTGAAATTGCTCCAAGTCATTAACCGGGAAGATGCAACAACCAGTGTCATGAACCCAAAATGGAACCAACCAATACAGTGTGCGTAAAGCAGTCCAAGCAGTACAAGGGAGGATGCGGGCAACAATCAGCATAACAGCATGATCATTTGCTCGCCTCTGCCATCCTCTTGCGTATTTCATGAGCAGTGTTGAAAATACCCAGAGTCGGCTTGTTGCAGACGAAGCATTTCTTGTTCTTGGAATGATGCTGCAAGACAAGAAACAGAAGAAAACACGAAACTAAATGTTATCCACGTGATAGAAATTGCAAGGAAAACATATAACTTCACAACATAATTAATGTTCACGACTCAAAATTTCAAGAGATGACTAGGTGAGTACCTTTAGAGCACAATGTTCACAGAAGTAATGCTTGCATTTGGTCACGACAGGGTCTTCAAAAGGCTCCCTACAAATGAAACATGCAAATGGCAAGGCATCATCATCGTCGTCATCATCGTCATCATTAGCTTCATCAAATTCGCCATCCTCCTTAGCCAAGGCACCCAAAGCTAATTTTCTCTTCCTTGCCTTCTCTGCCTCGTCCCACTCCTTCTCCATCTGCCATCCAGACTTGTAATCGCCTCGATCGTGCATAAACTTGCAAGAATCTCCATAACCACAGTAACCAGTTTCTTTGTAATCTTTACATATATCCGGCTGATAGTCGAATCTTGCCGAGACTCTGATGTGTGCAGATGCCCTAAGTGGTCCATGCGATCCACCAGCTTTCTCACTTGCAATTGTTAGCTCTCTTCTAAAGCCAGCTTTGTGATCTGTATATCCATGAATTCCCTTGTACAGCTTCTCGTTGCCACCCGAAGAACCCTGTTTGTTACCCTTCATATCCTCCCCAGCTTGCTTTAGAGCTCTCTCGCGTATTGCCCGGGCATCTCTTCCGAAGTCTGTCTCGGTTTCCAGAGTTGCTGTTGCCCTGCTGTCATTTTGTACCTGAATTACCTTTGAAGACTCAAACTGAAAGATGGGCTTCTCATTGTTGTCTGAGTTGGATTCTGATGGCTTTGAGCTCTTCGAAGGTCCGGACGAGAAGTATAGCTTGTTATCAGCCTTTGGCGCCTTCTTCTGATTGCTTAAGAAAGAGCTTTCGGTTTTTGAATCCTCGGCATTATCATCTTCCACTGCTCTCTTCCTGATGTTCTTGCTCTTAGTTGGCTTTCTGAAAAAGTTGCATACTGCAGAATGTGGAGAAGATGTACCATAAATTAAGAACCCAAGAAAGAGTGAACAACGCAAATTAAAGCAGAAACTATGGTTGAAGACAAAGCATCAATACCTTGTTCAGGCTGTTGAGATTCTCCTGAATCTGTCATATTTGGATGAACGGGGCAAAGAGATCAGGGCTTCACCAAAAATTGTCCTCTGCAAAACATCATTACGATTTCAGCAACTAAGCACAATTATAACACTACCCACCGATACTAAAGCACAAGTCTGTCCATACCAAAAATCTCAACATGGAACACCCCAGAAACCCTGTCAACAGCTTAATCAACATGGAAAATATGATTCCCTCTCTCTGAGAACACTTCCAATGGAGAGAAGAGAAATTCACCTAGAAACTTGCATTACATAGGCAGGCCGATTGCAAGGGGTAAAACACTGATAACTAGGGCAAAATTCAGAAAGCAGATATTGAATTCACAGAATGAAAGAAGCGAAACCAAAGCTGTAACAGTGATGGCAATGAACAACTAACCTTGCAATCGCAAACCAGTACAAGTCTCGTCTTCTTCTTCCACTTGCCAGCAATCAAACATTCAAACTTACGCCTCCATCAACAAAACTAGCTAGATAGGAAAGAAGCGCGGCCTTATCTGTCGATTCAACAAACGCTTACAAGAAGCTCGTCGTCAGTTTTCAGTTCCCCTAGTCGAATTTCTTCAAGCTCAAGCGACAAGAAAGGACGAATTAGGGACAGAAAAAGAACTTCCGACTGCGCTCTCTGGCCGCCCTCGCACGCTGCCGCGACTCCCGTCTCAGTCCCGCCTCCTCCTCTGCCTTGCTTCCCCGCGTCTCCTCCGCCTGAAGCGCCTCCTTGCCGCTAGAGTTCGAGCTTCGATTGCCGGCGGCAAGCTAGTCCGACGCTTCTCTCTCTGTTAACGGGGATCGGGAATTTTGCCCTCCTGTCCTCGAGAGATGGTAGCGGTTCATCTTCCGGCCGACTGGTTCAATAAAAGCTTTCTAATTTCCTTTTTCTTCCGCAGATTCGCGTTTCTTATTAACCGAACCAACTTCAATCTCGGTTCGAAACGTCTCCAAGAGACAGAACGACGTCGCCGCTAAAGCTGTTTTTTATGAACCTAACGGCCCGGCCCAACTTATGACTTGAACGATTTGGGCCACTTCGGCCTTTCCAAACAAGCTTCCTTCTTTCGTTCCCTTCTTCTTCTCCTCTCAACACGACACTCTGTTCTGTTTCGACCTTCGAGAGAATAATGGGATCATACCAATTGGATCGTGGCAGCCCAAGACGAGTCTCAAACATAGATCTCGATTAGTAGGCCCACCGTAAGGCTCTTGGGCCCATTGTGATATTAGTAATATGAGATTCGGCCTTAATTGATCTTTACTAGTTGTAAGTCTGGCCCGTTGGCCAGATGAATTAGTAAAGGCTAGAAATTGGTTTGGTTTTGCTTTTGGCGAACTAATATTCTGATGTGGTTTTCAAGTGTGTTTAGCAATGTTGTCAATCCGATAGTCGACGATTCTAATTGGATGAGGAAAATGGCTACACACACCTGTGAGGCGACATGCAGCAAGGTCCCCGCATTGGAGGTTACACGGCGTCATTTTTTCTTTTTGTTTACACATTGCACCTTTTCTCGGTTTTTTCATTCGCCTAACTCTATTTTTTTATTTTTAAGTTGAATAAAGGGATAACAAAAGAGGGGGAAAAACCGAATATTTCACTTAGTAACATTTTCCAATGTGAACTTATTAACTACCTCAACTCCGCGGACAATCCGATTTTTCCACCACGACGATAAGGGGCTAAAAGATCTACTACTTTTTTTTTTCTCTCCCACATTTTTTTGTATAAGTATTTCTCATTTATGATACGATGAAATTCTGAAGATTGACTTGATGTACAAAAGAATCCTTCCTCGAATTCACAAAACTAATACATGGGACTATAGGTTGGATCCAAATACAAATTATTATTTTGATGTAATGTAATATATTATTACCCATATGTTATATGAGATTTGATATAATTTATAAATAATATAATAATTTTTACTCATATATTCAGGCTAAAGCAATAAAACCAAAACCTCAGCCTACTTACTCGACTGGACAAACGTGCTATTGATAACATTGGTGTTTAGCTTGTTGGTTTAAAAGTGGGACATTTTCAGCTTTCCCACTGTCCATATGTTAAAGCTCTACTTTCCCCTTTATGATTCGTCGAATCAAACCATATATTAAATTACCTCATCTAATTTTTTCCTTTATTCGTTTCTTGGCGTCTCTAATTATTCATTGAGCGGGGAAGATTTTTTGTTCGATAGTGGCTCAGGGAGCAAAATTGCGAAACCAAGATCGTCGTAATGGAAAAATAGAAGCTTGCATGTGGGAGAAGGCTCAGCTTTCGGTTAACAATGGATAATTTGGCTTGGCAAGTATCGTTTTCCTAAGTTTTAAATATCAAAGTGGCCATTGAATTATGTTTTTGTCATGTCGGGCCTTAGAAGCCCGTAGAAACCCAGCCATGGTACATTTCTGTCGAAACACAAATGCAAAGCCAACCTTCTAAACTTTCTAACATAGCATAGACTAAAACATGTTCTGAATAGAGTTTAATATGCTTCAGATGGTCATTAGAAGAGTAAGAGAAGAGGTTATCGGTTGTTGATTAGAGACTGAGAGAAGAGATGGTCGTTAGTATTGAAATGTAGGACAAACAAAAGGAAAAACATTTTTGTATGGTGTAATTTTTGGGATGAAGGTCTCAAATGGTGGAAGTAGGAGAAGCAAAAAAGAGGAATCACAATGCATGTTCTTCTTGCCATAAATAATCTTGTATATTGTCTTGAAGTGTAACATATAAGGCTAAGTAACAAAGATGTGTACATAGATGATCGTACCATATACAAAAGGTAATCGTTTAATCTCTTCTCAATTAGTTCATAGATGATCGTACCATGCATAGTGTGTAAATCATTATGCTCGACCCCAATGGTGGGAGCATTGACAACATCTAGCTCTCGAGCTTCAGCTTCAGTATTTAACTTATGCTACTATTAATAGATTGAGAGCAGTTCCTTTTAGGTACATACAGTCATACAGTAGATTCCTGAAAATGCAGGGGAAGGAGTAGTAATATGATAAAAACTCAACAACACATAACAACTGAACATAATGTACATTATAAGTGAATCGAATGGGAGGGGTTTGTTATATCGGGTTTCTTTCTAGTTAAGTAGCAGGATTACATAGCTTCTTCGGTTAACATGAGTACAGATGCCATGTGTCATTGTAATTCTAACTGAAGGGCTATTCCAACAAAGTGAAGTAATTTCTTCATTTTGTCTACCTAATAGTTTCTTGGAATGTAGAGCAGAGAGGCTGCTGTAATAAAATAGTTTCTATTTGATTATGCAACCTTACTTTGTTTTGTTCGTCTAGTTAATCCTATGATGAACATAAGTGTCACCAGGTTTGATTCCATTGCTAGAGTGGGATTATCATATTCAACCACATGTTATTTTTTTCCTTAACACATATATAAGAAGGACCAGTACTATAATCCCAACGTTGTAAGCTGTGAGGATGGCAAATTCAAATAAACTTAAAGAGTCATTAGAGAACTGATAAATCTAGTATGACTTGGATTAGATGAACTTACCTTATTAGCAGCATCAGCGGTAAAATCCTTCCATGGTTGAATCTTAAGATGACCAATAATATCAGGACCTTTTTCTATAAGTTATAAAGTTACCATCCAGCAAACTTCATGGCAAAGTGGCTGACAATCTGCATGTGGGAAAGTATGAGGAAATTTTAAAACAATGTGAAGCACGACACATGAGAATTCAAGAAGTAAAGAGAAACCTACGCTTTCGATGCTTACACACATAGGGAAAGAGGGGCTTCAAGACAAGAAGAAAAATGGAAATTGTGAAATTGTGAATGAATATCGGACATTTATAAACGACAGGTACATCAAGTGTGTGGAAAAAACTACTGATTTGCTTACTGAACATACCATTTTGATCCTAATCCAAACCCTAAATTGCCAGTGGAAAACAGTTGCACTAAGATACAAAGTAGCTTCACAATGAGCAAAAACCAGTAACAGTAGATGTAAAGGTACATGTTACCACTCCGATATTCATTTCACCCAGGAGACGGACTGAAGCTTTACAGTGAGAGGCAAAAACAAACACAACGTAAGTCGTCTGGACTGTACAACAACATGAATTGAATTGGCAGCCAAGGAAAACACCGCAAGTCTGAGGGTGTTGCAGATGAGGCCAAAGAGTTAAGTTCCCGACTAAGAGCTGAATCAACAACTGGACGGGGAATACCCATTGCACCCTAGCTATAGAATGAGAAGAAATGACAATGCTTTTTAACAATATCAACTGTTTTAATAGAGGCGACCATTTCATTGGACTGTAATGTAAGAAACAAATGAGCTCCCATATGTAATCCCACAATCAATGGGCCAGCAAATTTGATAAGCACAATTGAAGATTACAACCAGGGAAGCATGCAGCAATATCAAAACCAAATTACCTAATAACTCTGAGATGCAATTTTGAGGGTTAGAATGAGTTTTAAATGGATTATACCTGAAGTCGACTTGCAATTCAATATACGGATTGGATTTGGCAACTGTAGATGAGGGGCAGAGGGAATATGTCTAATCTACACTCGGCAATAATCGATCATAGCTCTACCCTTTCATTGTGGGAATAAATGCGATGGCTGAAGGAGGGACTTCCAACTATCGATTGAGAACCAAAATGGATGGAGTGCAAAGCCAATAAAGAAGAGGCCCCTCCTCGAATTGTAAGGTTAATAGCCCTAAACATCGTGATCGCAGAAACCTGGGCCAATTTCACTCCGAAATCCCACCTGGTCAAGAGATTGGGGATATTTAAGCCCGGACGAGAAAGGGAATTGCAACCCAGCTTGAAAACCTCAACATAAAAAACAACATTAGGAAATCATAGATGACCGGTGCACAGGAAAAGCGTATCGCAGGTCAGGGAAGAAAGGACTTGAATTTCATTATGTGGGAAAGCAGATGAATTAATGGGAAGAAGATTACCTGGACAGGAAAGCGGTCGTCCTTGCCGCACAGAACCGCTCTTCAGATCGACTTCGCCGCTGCTGCAGGAAGGAGCTAGGGAAGAGAGGGCTTGATTTCATTCTGTGGAGAAAGCAGATCAATTAATGGTAAGAAGCTGACCTGGACAGGAAAGCTGTCGTCGTTGCCGCACGAAACCACTCTTCGGATCCACATCGTCGACACTGCGGGAAGTAGAAACGAAGACCTAGGGAAATATGGGAACGAAGGAGTAGGGGTGAAAAAATGAAAATGAGTCAACTGAATTTGGGAGCTGCGCATAATCTGTCCCGTAAGGGTCTCCGGCCGCGAAAAGTAAGTGGGGCAATTACCTAATTACCCTCACCGCAAATGAAGGAGAGAGCAGAGAATTTGAATCCAAGAAAAGTACACGAAAGTGTACAATATATTAATGGTAGATTTATTGACATCTTCACGCAACTGCCACATGTTTGATGCCTTTTAAACGACGGGATATCCGCTTGCCGCATCATCATCCACCCACGTGACTTAATGGTTTAACATTTAAAGCCGTTGGATCGATCTACCAGCTTGAGCCCCAAGTTTGAAGTAACGTGGAACGCAAACACGGAGCAAACTTCCTCAACTATAATTATTTATTTATTATTTTGTAGCCTCAAAATTCATGAATTACTCTTCGATTTTGGATAAAGCCCGATAATTTGGTGGGGTTCTTTTTCATATGATCGGCTGCCAAAAGACCAACCGAGTCACCAGCTGTTAACAGAGTTTCGATCAAACTCGCCAGCATCATCTTGTTCTTCAGCCTCCTCGTCTTCTCCGCTCCCTTGCTTCGGAATCGTTTCGTAAGGTATGCGCTTTCTTATCTCTAACTCTAAGTTGAGACTAGGGAGTTTGGGATTTCTTCAAAGTTCTGAATTTGCTGTGTTTCTGTCGAACGATTGATTGAATATCCGACGAATTAGTTCACTCAAATTTTAAAATTGTTCGCTCCTTTAGGATGAGTGAAGAAAGAGGAAGAAGAACATAATCCCTTGAATTGATTATTGGGTGTTCTTATTTATCAGTTAATTGAGATTCTGGCCTGGAATGGAATTGTCTGTAGAACTCAGAAGTAGAAAATTTTCAGGGTTTTGTTCGGCTGGAGGAAGTTTTGGCCTGGCTAATTACTTACTTTTGTTTTGATGGGGGTGCAGGAAGGGAAGAAGGGATGGCTAAGAGTTGCTTCAAGCAAGAGCATGACCATGGTATGCTTAAAGTTGAGGTTGTGGATACATCTTTGTTTGTATTCGGATAAGGTGGGTGTTGACAATCAAGTTTTTTGTATTTGTTTGCAGAGAAGAGAAAAGCCGAAGCTGCCAGGATCAGGGAGAAATACCCAGATAGAATTCCGGTGAGAATTCTTGGGTGCTGTTATCATGAATGATACTGTGGCTTTAAATGTGTCTTCTGTTGTTAGACTTATTTTCACTTTACTGTAGTGTTCTGCGTTTGTGGTTCGTTAACCCTTTATGGGGAAAGAACTTCATGCTGTTTAGTTTCTGCTTATTCTCGTGATATTGGGGGTGACAAATTCATTTCCGCCATAATGTACATTGTTTGCCAGATTATATGAGACTTGCTCTTGGATATGCTAGATTAGTTCAAACATCAAGCTTGCTCTAAAGTGCATGAATCAAATATGAAATGTCCTCTTTTCTAGTGGTCGCTGACTTCCTTTTTTCCACTGTTCTTCTTTTGTCTTGAAGGTCATTGTGGAGAAGGCAGAGAGAAGCGAAATACCAAATATAGATAAGAAAAAGTACGGTTTCCCTCTGATGATGCTCTTCTTGTTGTTTTGATCTCCCGCTTCTTATTCTTGCTGCTGGATTCATGCTTTCGCATTGTTAGAAATCTCCTTAGCTTCTACAAGAGCGCCTGTTCAGTATACTAAATGATGCTGTCTGCATTAGCAGGTACCTTGTCCCAGCTGACTTGACTGTTGGACAGTTTGTTTATGTTATCCGAAAGAGGATCAAGCTGAGTGCTGAGAAGGCGATCTTTATATTCGTCGACAATGTCCTGCCACCAACTGGTTAGCACTTACTACTGCACATTTCTCTATCAATATTATGCAGTTCTGATTCTTTTCTTCCCCTCATTAGCTTTATCGTGTCTTTGTGGCCTTTATCCAACATAGGTGCCATCATGTCTGCTATATATGAAGAGAAGAAGGATGAAGATGGGTTTCTGTATGTCACTTACAGCGGTGAGAACACGTTTGGGACGGAGATTCAGCAGTAGAGCCAAGCCAAATTGTTGCAGAGCTCCATAAGTTTCCCTGTTTATCTGTCTCAGTTGCTTGTTTAGGTTTGGGGATGATGTTCATTTAATATATGAACACAGCTCGGTTGTGGAGACACTTGTGCATAGGGTATATATCTCTCTCTCTCATGTATAGACACTTTCAAGAACTTCTCTTCTCTTTCTCTAATTCAGTATTTATGTCGAAAACATGACTTGGCCTCTCCCTGGTGTTTGGCATAATGATTATCAAGATAGAACTGAATCACTTTCTGCGTTTGTTTTAGTTACTTGAAAAGAAAGAAGAAACACTATTATTCCTTGTGTGCTGCTGAGTTTTCTTCCCAAACGTTTTATCTTAAGTTGAACTCAGTTGCGGGCCGCTAATGGAGGCTAATACGGGCTGGCCCAGCCTGGTCCCAGACTTTGGATCCCAGGATTGGCCTGCCTCTTGTTCGCTTTGGCATATTCTCATTCTCCAAACATCAACATTCACCAACAGCATCTATGGTCTTGATTCTTAACGCAATCATTTTAGCTTGGTGGGGACTGGAGAAGAACCAGCTTAAATAGGGTTATTTACGTATATGTTAGTAGTTGGAAAGTGATAATAATATTTTTTACTTGTCGTAACACATTAATATTTTACATGATATCACCACAACCATGGTAGATTGACTATGTTTCAAGGAAAGATATCTGTATACATGTCATATACTTATTCCTAGAACGCTACAGCCTACAATATATGAAATATGGAGATCCATGAGATGGGTTGTGGGTGACGAGATCGTAGTTGCGTACTGTTTGAACCTAACTGAGTGTAGGAGTGAGGTTCGTGGGAGAAAGAGGGTCAAGGAGAGTAAGCAGTCGGAATCGATTATGGAATGAAGAACGAAGGTAGGGAAGAACAAGGTTGGGAGAATAGAGCCTTAGAGAGAGAAGTTGATGATTGTAGAGGTAGAGTCTCCCAAAAAATGCGATCCTCACACCCACCGGAGTAAATGCCCTATTTATAAGCAGTCGTTTGAGGTGTCTCTTTGATCCCGCGAGATCCGAGTCATATACCCAACACGTACTTTATTGTAATGGTCGACTTTTTCACATCAAATCCAAAATAAAAAGGACAAAATTACATTTCAAAGTCACGGATTATTGAGTCCTACCTCTAACCATATGACTCTCATCTTTCCAAAAGAAAAAGTGGAATTCATCGGGTAATTATCCTTAATGGTAACAAAACTATTCACTTTGTACAAAACGGTCACAAATCTTTAATTTTGCACGTTTCAGTAACATATGTTTGGACTAATAACAAAAAAGTAATTCCGTCTATCTCCATCCAACAAACCGTTAGTTTTATCGTGTCAGCATGCCACGTCACTTAAGATATTAATTAAAAAATGACCATACCAATTCAACTGATAACCCAACCCAAAACCCTAATTCCATACCCACCCACCAAACCGAAATCTCGTAGACAGAAATGCTCGCTTTCCTCTGTGGTTGTAGACGATTCAGCTCCCAGCCGCCGACCCAAAGAAACTCCCCGTCGTCGATTGCCTCCCCTGGTCGTATCGCCGGCGTACCAAATGTCCGCCACAGATCGCCTCCCCTGCTTCCATCGCTGACTGAACCAAACGCCGGTTGCCGTTCGCCTCCACTGATTGTTGTTGGGTGCTTAATCGCTTACAACCAGATGCTTAGAATTGGAGGCGAGAGGAATTGGAGGCGTTTCTGGATGGAGTTGAGGTGAGCGGGGGGCTGTAGTTGCACGATGATCACTGGTCGATCTTCTTCTCTGCTCACCAGATGAGGATTTGCATAATGGGAGTCTCGCGAAGGACGGCGGAGTCGATGAGAATGGTTATAGCTGGGAAGGGGAATGAGATAATTTGAAGGACCGAAGAAGACGGATAATGGAGCAGGCCATTATTGCCTGCACCGTCCCGACGATTGCGTCTCAGTCGGTGGTATCCCCAAAATCCCAATGATGACCACCTCGTCCACGAACAACAGCTCGCCAATCCAGGCGCCACCAAGGTTGTTGAATTCGGGTGGGTGGGTATAGAATTAGGGTTTCCGATTGGGTTAGAGTTCAATTTGGTTTGGTCATTAATTTTTTTATTAATATCTTAAATGACGTGGCATGTTGACTGGACGGAAGTAACGGTATTTTGGATGGAGATGGACGGAATTACCTTTTTGTTATTTGTCCAAACATTTGTTACTGAAACGTGCAAAATTAAAGGTTTGTGACCATTTTGTACAAAGTGAATAGTTTTGTTACCATTTATGATAATTACCCGGAATTCATCATATGACTTATATCTCCAAAATGAAAAAAGTGGAATTCCCTCTCGTCAATATTTAAGTCTAAAAAAAATGGAAAAACCTCATCGTAGGGTGAAATTTAGGACTCGTTTTAAACTATGAGGTTGTTGAGAAAAAAAAAAGGGATTTATGATGAATTTATTGTATTATGCATTTGAAAAGTTTATTGTTTGCATGATAGGTTTCATAATATATTTATAATGAATTTGTTACATATATCATTAAACATTAGCGATTTACAAATCTCAACTCAATATGTGGGATTTAGTAGTCTGTAGGGTTCACAGATTTGGATCCAAAATAAAAAAAAAAAAGACTAAATTCATGGATCCCACGAATTTGGCACCCATCAACAAACAATAAATTTGAATTCAATCCATCAAATTTAAAAATTGAGATACCAAATCCATAACTCAAATCTAGCAAGCAAACTACCCATTAAAAACGAAATGTCATTAGGATGATCCATCAAACAAAAAGGTACTATTCGGTTTAAAGTCTTAATAGTTTTCTTGTTCTTGTTTCTTAAACATCCCAACAAGACATGAGCCATAACGTACGCAAGTGATGATCTCTTGCCCTCTGTCTGCCTAATCATATAGTAGATATCCCTTCCCTGGGTCGAAGAGTGCAATATGGCGGCAGGATGAGCATGAAAGCCACATGGGGTTGACATGCAATGGGCCCAAAGAAGAGAGAGTAGTGCAGGGGGCAAGCGAGGGTTCGAGCCCATGCAGCTTTGTCGCCGGTCTGGTCTGGTCCGGTCAGTCCCCACCGTCCCATTCCTCATCAAACTTAGGCCCATATTCCCCTACTAGCCTACCTCTCTCTCTCTCTCTGACATTTTTGTGGTCTTTTCTTTTGGCCTCATCTTCATCTATAAGACAATAACCTTTCCTTCCTGCATAATATATAATTAATCCGAAAATTTTCCCTATATATGTTCCACGGGTTAATTGCATAGTTGGTCACTGAGATTACAAAAAACGTTCATGTTTGGTCACTGAAAATATTTAAATCCAATTTTAGTCACTCAAATTAGTTAAATGGTTCAAGTTTGGTCACTCTCCGTCCAACTCCCCGTCCCTAGAGATCGATTGGGGGCATTTCTGAATCTGGGTTCTGGTCCAAATCCGTCACTGTCTGGGTAATTAGTATACTACTTGTTCTTCCTTTTATACCTCTGGTTCAAGAGAAGCAGAACAAAAGAAGTTCCAAACAAAGGGGACTTCCCCAATTCTCCATCATCAAGCCACTGGAACCTTTGGAGGTAAGCACCCGTCTGGCTATTCACAACTTCCGGGGTCAACACCTTGTTCTTCGAGTGCCCGCAGTTGTAGAGAACCATGGAGGACCAGTTCTTCCTCGGGTAAACTGTCTGGACGGCGCCATCCATCTTTGTGGTTTCCTTCGGGGTGTAGTCATGGTGGACGCACATGATGGCGTACTTATCGTCGGCCAGATCGCGGAGCTCCTTGATGTCGGCCAGGCAGAGGAAATCGCAGTCGACGAACTTTTTTTTTTCCGCATTATAATGATTTTTTTTATTTTACTTTATTGTGAAAATGAGTTGGAAATGATAGAATATTAAAATTTATTTTATTTATTATTTTTTAATTGCCACGTCATCGAGTTAACGGTCAACTTTGAGGGTTGACTGCCACATCAGACATATTTAACGGAGTTGGACGGAGAGTGACCAAACTTGAACCATTTAACTAATTTGAGTGACCAAAATTGGATTTAAATATTTTCAGTGACCAAACATGAACGTTTTTTGTAATCTCAGTGACCAACCATGTAATTAACCCTATGTTCCACTAATTAAGGACTGAAGATGTGGCATAATTTATGGAGTGAGTGTGGCATCGGCCCTTTCACTTTGGAGCTTACAAATGCAAGAAGCAAGCACATGATTTTAGGTGTAATTGTAATGTAGTGTACATACACTACACATGAGTCTAATCTTGTCTCCAAACCCTAACAATTAATCCAGTGGAGATAACTATTAGTGGACGTAAGTGTGAGTGTGACTCAATATATAGTCGAGTATATTGATTTTGGAGATGGAGATTTTGAATCTAATCATCACATTATACTCGTATGCGAAGAATACTAACTATGAAGAATTGTGTACATATTTACTACAACGTTCGATAATGAATTATGATATCAACAATAGCCGCCAACCCAAGTTAAAGGTGATGATTCACTGCCCTTTGTCTACTTCCTACATCGAGTAGATTTCAGGCTTTCATCCTTAATTAACCTTTCTTCTCTTTTTCTAGATCCTGTGTTCTTTCAGGTCATTATTCATTGAATGTCAATGTGCCATGTTCCTGCATGCAATTGATATATATGTGTGCTATGTATCTTCTATATAAAATTGGTCGGCAAACGATAAGTTTATATAGTTTATTAATATATTTGAATGTGTTATTGCCGAAAAACTGATTTGATACATGCCAAGAATTTTGTATTATTTGTAGGTGGTTAGGTAGTTGTATGGAAGGGTTAGCTCATCCAGCCCTAGAAAGCAGGAAAGGGTAAGTGGTTACATCGATCCTCATTTTCCTAAACAAGAAAATGGTGACAATTGTTGGCCCAGAATTACAATTGTCACCATACGATTAGTATGATATTGTCCGCTTTAGGCTATGCCTGCACAGTTTTACTTTTGGGTATCCTCCCCAAAAGGTCTTGTACTAATGATCTTGGTAGACACTAACATACAAGACTCATTCTCTTGTATTACTGATGTTGTACTTGGATTGTCCTGTAGCACTCCATGTTTGTCGTTTGATATATGAACATCATAAGATATATAATCTCACAAATTTATAAATGATCAACAAACCAAATGATAAGTTATTAATCGATTTGCTCATAAGCTGCTAGTTGAGGTGGGTAGTTAGTCGTACTGTCGAGTGACGAACCAGCTCATAGCCCAAAACGAGCTAGCTCACGAGTAGCCACCGGATCGAGTTGAGTCACGAGCCTTGCGAGCTGAACATGACTTGTCACTTCAAACTCGGTTAGTAAACGAGGTGAGCGTCGAAAAGAGTTTTTCCCCTGAGTCACTCATCATGAGCAGTTTGACTCATTTGCAACCCGAAAAATATATGGTGCATATTAGCTGATTCGGTTACTAATATTTCTTTTTTGTGGTGATGTCCAAATCATCATTCCGAAAATTCGAACGGGGAACTCTACCCATAGTCCCATATCTCGGGTGTTGCCTTAATTCCTAAAGGAAGTTACCCTCCATTCGGAATGTCCATCTCTAGAAAAGAGAAGAAGAAGAAGAAGAAAACAAAGGCCGATCTACAACGGTTTCTGTTTCGAGAGCTCAACAAAAGAGAAAATAAGGAACAAGTGGCGTTGGGGGCCGGAGACAAAGGGGAGGCCCGCCAAATATCTAGAATCTTGTTTTCTTTCTAGGGCTCTGTCTCACTCCAAACATCTGCATGTTCTCTCCTTAAAGAGTAGCGCCTCCGATCCCTATGCAATAAATGATTTTTCGTTTTTTCTTTTCCAGTTATTTCTCTCTCTCTGCTGAACTTCCCATGCAATAAATAGCTTCGATCCTCTTCTCTCGACTCGATCCACAGGTAACCCTAGCAGCAACCAAAACACTGTCCCATTTGGCTAAAGATTTCCTTTTGGTCTTCTCACATATACAATACAAAATGTCCCAGGTGGTTCTCCTCTGCCTTCTGGCCGTCGTCTCCCTTTCGATGCATGCATGCGACGCTCGGTACCGGCTGAGTCTCATTGACACTACTGATCAAGCAGAAAGCTCACCCAACAGCAACTATCCTCCCAAGGTATGCAATTAATATTAACTAACCACACGCGATCGATTTCACTTGTAAAATGTGGGTCCAAAATTCACTGGATGCAGCTGCGATTAAATATGTTGATATTTGCTGGTGCAGGAAGGTGTAAGCCTCCAAAATGGTGCAATCAATACCGCCGTCAAGCACAATAACCCTTTCACACCCATTCTCAACAAGGAAATTACTGCAGCTGGTCCACTAATTGCTCATCCTAGGGATGGTTTGCAGCAGCAGCAGGAAGATCCGAATAATAACGACCTACTAGTGGTAAGCACCGAGTACTACTGCCCATAAAAATACCTTTTTGAGCTTGTGTTTGTTTGGAATGTGCAATGGTTGTTTTCATTCTATCTGTAGAAAGGTGGGTTTGCACTTTGTAGTATGTTGGCATAATATAAGTATATGTTCAATATTAAATTGTAGGGAGCATTATATAACTAGCTGATAATAATATGAAGCCTTATGATCAACATTCATATAATTGCTAATGGCTTTGATGCACGTCATGATGATTCATGAGCTTAATAATTATTCCATCGGGATCTTAGAATGTTAGATTGATTCACTCGAATTATTGGGGGGAGATTTGAGCACGTATTATCGCATATAATTAATCTCTTTTATGATGATTGATGTTGTACACAGGGAATGAGGAAGAGGATGGGGAGAGTGCTAATGGTGGAGAAGGAAGACAGCAACAACAGCAATAATAGTAATGGTGGAGATGATCAGTCAAAAGAGGCTAATTATACTGATGATGATGCTGAGGCAGCAGATCAGGAAAGCAGTGGAGTTGTTGTGATGGACTATGCGCAGCCACATCGAAAGCCACCAATCCACAATGAAAAATCATAAAAAAAGAATACATAAATTATTAAGTTCCCATATATTTCCCTAATTACATTACACCATCCAAGGGCTGTGATTACGTATACATGTAATCCTCTGCTGCTGCATAACTTTGTTTTTATTTCCTTTCTACACATATATGATTTGATTGAGTGTTGCCTAGGCTATATAGCTAGCTTATAGAAATGGCTAGCTAGCTGCATATCTCAAATTTGTAAAATGTTAATTGCCAAGACGAGTTTTGTTGTTTCATGAATATTTCCTGAAGTTGTTTTCTTGACCAACAAAGTTGTGGTATGGGTGTTTAATAAGGTATATTACACTCACACAAGACTTCAGCATTCCACCAAAGATTCCTTTTGAGGTATAAATCCACTAATCCACTCTAAAAAATGTTATTTTATATCATGGATTGATATATATGTACGTTTTGAAGTTGATGATTAGGCGTTAGCAATGTTGAAAATGAACTAATCACACTAGGGAAATTTTTTGAGATCTCCTTAATGTCAAGAATGTCTAATTAATATTCGGGAATATAAGGACCAAAATTTGGATTGGATATAGTCCGGACTTGATTCAGTTCGGTCTTGACCCGATCCAGTCCCAATTCGGTCTTGATTTTAGATTGAACTTGTGGAAATTTGAGTGGCCTGAGACCTCAAAGGGTGAGGAGTTGTTAAGTTTTGGGTGTTGGACTCTCTTATCCGCTCTTTATCCGATTTTCGATATGATCCCAAACGATTTTTTACCTCAAATCTAAGCCCAAAAATGGGATTGGATTGTTTGCTATCCGATTCTGGTCACAATTACACAGTCCGGTTTCAGGTAAACCCAAAAAGTCGGGACCAAATAGCCAGTCGACGGCCGTATCATCGTATATTGCCAGCGAACAAAAATATAGTTTATTGATACTATCGCATGTCATCAACCTGGAGGATCCCAAATTTGAATGTCTTAAATAGCACCTTACGATAAAACAAACAAATCTAACAAATCTTGTTCGCCCTTACTTATATGACCAAGTGAATGGTTGTAGCTAGGTTCTAAATAATAATTAAGCAATGCTACAAACCTACCACAAAAGAGAATGGCAAATGATACGGTGGTTGGGGAAGTTAATGGCTCAACACATGATGTTTAATGGTACCATACAGACAAACTTGACATGGGTCTACCGCCATGGCTGACCATCATGTTTCTTTGTCCAACTCCCTACAGCACCAAGTTGTGAAGAATCAGTTCCTCCATTCCCTTGTGTATCCAATTAGGCACAAGACAAGAAAGGGCCTCCTACGTACCTTTCTTATCATCAGCAGATCATCGAACAGAAATATTAGATAAATGCTGTGAATACAGACACTTTTTTGTACTGCTCAAACTCATGACCTGTTATAGGAAGCATCGACAAAGGCAGAAACTTCTGTATTTGTGAAGCCAACCAGACATGTATAACGGAAAAGATGTAGCCTTACAGATGCACCAACATCATTCCTGGACTGAGAAACCATTTGGGGAACACCACCCTTCCCTTTCCTCATCAGGAACCTTTCGTCTTGTACTGCTGCAGGGGATAGTCATGTGCTACTACTGCAGCTGAATACGAATGGCCTAACGAAGTTGATGAATTGGGGAGTCCGTATTCCAAGCTTCAGATCGACTTCACCGCCGCCCAACCAGAAGTAATCTGGGTGCAGTTTCACAATTGCTTCGTCCAAAATCACCTGATGAGATCAAACACCATGATTGGAAACAGTTAATGGTACTCGTTCAAAAAACGAGGGAAGAAACGAGAAGTGTTGCAGCTGCAACATGCCAACCTCAAACATCAGATCAAAATTCAGACATCAAAAGTTCAACATATCTAACTTTTTGTCTATTCTGAGATCACATGTTTATAAAAACAGATAAACACATACTGACTATCAACATCCATTCATTGGTAGCCTGCTGTCCGAATTACCTCTGTCCATCTATGTTTAAGCAAACAACTCAACTTTCAATGTCAATGCTATGTTTCCTCAAATGGCAGACTGGCAGCAAATCATCGAAGTAGCAATCAAAGGTAGTGTAATGAATGGTGGACCTCTGGATTAAAAACCCAATTTCGACAGACATGATATTTGGACAGTGGAGCACTAATAGCTGGCATGCTACTTCCTCTATCATTTCTCAGAGAGAAAAAAGTTCATTACTGCTGCACTCTGACTCTCTCCAGCAACATTTGTTATTCAACAACCCACAGAGACCATGAGTAGGACACTATTGTTATAGACACTCGACAACAAGACCCAAAGGGTCAACAAGGTTATGCTATTCCAGATCCGAGCAAAATCCAGGACTTTCAAGCTGGAGTGTCCCTAAAACATGTTACAAGTGCATGTGTAGTGCAAGAGGCCTTGGACCGACGATTTTAAGGAGAGCGCTGGTACACAATTCCGGCTACTGAATCTTTTTACCTCTTGGTTACATGGATTACTGATGCACACTTATGGTTATTTTTCCCATAGATACTGAAGCAAGCTAGAGGTACGTCCTCACATTGACAAACAATATGACAGGAAAGTGTACCACCAAAGGAGGAATTTGATGAAATAGGGGGGTGTAACTTGTAAGAACTCAGTGTTTCAACAGCATGTTTAGACACTTGAAGACAATTGTTCATAGAAAACTTACTGGTATGTCGGTTTTCATGCCGACGCATGTAACTGCATTGTGCTCAAACCCGGTCAGCTGGAAAGACGTCTCTTCCGGTGCAAGCCTCACTGCATGCATGATTCAAAGAACATCAATTGCATCATTATGCAGAATAATTCAAAGGAAGAGACAACAACATGAACTCTGATTTGTAGTATAAACTAATTCAGAGCTTACTGTTGAATTTCTTCTTTGCTACCTTGCCTTCGTTGAGTGCGTACAGATAGTTCTTAACAGATTCAGCATTGAATTTAGCTGTATACTGCAAATAAGAATAAATCTCAATGAGGTCAGACAGTTTCAGTTATAGGGTAATGGCTGGCTAAGTAGCGCTCAAGCAAGCAAGCATGTTATACCTGAACTACAACAACGTAATACTTGGAGTTATTGCGATCGCTGCAATCAATTACATTCGATGCCGCCTGCGTATTAACCTGAAGAAAAAACTCAATTGAAGTCCATTCCCCCAATCTGGCGACCTAACTCGTCGAATTTCCATCAATAGGAAGCGGAAGAATCGCGTACCAGGACGATGCTTTTGCAGAGGTGATGAATGGAGGCAGCGCCGAGGACGTCGCGGCGCGACTCGAACGGCCAATCGTAGTAATCGGATGGGACTCGCTTGAAAGCGAAGTCAGTAACGCCGTTGGAACGGAGAATGGAGGAGAGGCGCTCCTCCGTCGCGCCGCCGGCGTTGGTCTCCCGGCAGCAATTTGACGCCGGCGGGTGAAGTTGGGTTAGTTCGTCTTCGTGGAGGTAGTTGGGGAGGTGGAGGGCGAGCTCGAGTTTGGCTATCCGCTGGAGGATCCGGTTTTGGACCCGCTCCAGCTCCGCCATTTCTGCTTCCAATTTGGATTCCATCGCGTGAATCTTCCGCCTCCCCGGCCGGCTCTCTTCCTATCTCGTCGCTCTCCCGGGTAAAAAACAGGCCGGCGTTCTGACTTTGGTGGTGGAGGGCAAGTGGGCAACGAAGGGATCGAGCGGGTGTTCTCGGGCGAGTGACGGACTTTGGGCTGGGATCCAGGTTTAGGCCCAACTAGAAATTATGAGCCCCTCTTTTGAGCTTGCGCCGGAGTTTGGACTTTGGACCTGTAAGTTGGGGTTGAGCTAAAAGCCTAAAACAAAAGGGTTCAACATTTTTGTACATGTTATTTTTTTAATCTACAAGACAGACTAAAATTAGACAAACTGCATGTAACATTTTAAATAAATCTCATAACAAGAAAACCTGAAAAAAGTTCATACGCTGTAAGATTTAATTCAACATTAAATTTGTGTTGCATTTAATAATATTTGAAAATTAAAAAATCATATTAATTATATTCTTTTTTTAACTACCATTGCATTTATACAATTATCATTACACTTGTACATTGAACTCATATCAATTACATTCATTTTTTTAACTATCATTGTATTGATATAACTACCATTGCACTTGTACACAGATGTCACTACCATTGCACTGAAAAAAGGAAAGTAATTAATATAGATTTTTAATTCAGACAGATTATTGAATACAACACAAATTAATTATCTTAAAATCCTATAATTAATATGAGGTGTCATTTTTCCAACTCTTGTAGAGATAGTCATATTGTCTCACCCCAAACTTCATAAAACTAGATTAAAAACAGATTGAAATCGCATAAATTTTTTGAGGTGTTACACTTTGGTTTTTTTTCTGTAGCTACAAATATTCGATACATAAGTAAAATAGGATCTAGGAGTAGTAACAAATACATACAAGTTGGATCTGGAGATGTGAATGGGATGCACATGCGGTGAAGGTAATGATAAAATCATAAAACAGGGGTCGACCGAGTCCGACTGGTTTTCACAGGCACAGCACCTGGTATTCTCTAATTAGTTGTTGGCAGCAGGAGACTTGTGTTGTGGGATGAAAGGACAAATCAAACAACGTGTCGCTTGAATATGGACATGCAAAATGACTTTGGAGGTGGAACTCCTCCTTCCTGTCAAAGTTTCAATGATGCTCTTTAGGCGTCTTAACGGGAAAATTGCATTGCTTGCCTCGGAAAATAAAATTTTAGAGAGAACCTTCCACCATAGGAAGGAACTTGACCAATAAACTTTTGCAAGAGTTAAATAGGCACGATGTAATTAGCAGGTAAACAAAACGACGGGATTATCAGATGCCGAAAGCTAAAACGACAGGATTCTCTCTGGTCAGTCAGTCACAGGCCTGGCGGGAGCTATTAAAATATTGTACTTGGAGCGCGCGGCAAGCCACTAGTCCACGTGATTCGCTCGTGCGCTAGATTGTAAATTTTGCGCGACATGCCTCTGCCAATCTGCATTGTCGCTCGCTTTTTCTTTCTCACGATCCCGATCGGATCCGCTCTTGACGCGTGGCATCTGCTGTAGCATCAACGGCCCCAGTGAGCCTCCCATACTTGTTCGGCGGTAAAAAGTCTTCAAGTTAGTCCTTCTCTTCCAGACCATTTTGACCATTCCAACAAATCACACAGAAAGAAAACTCTGCTTCTTCTTCCCCCAAATTCCTCCGTCCCCCGCCATTGGCCCATTGCTATAAATCCCCGCGGCTCTCTTCTCTTCAATCCTATCCAACAATCAAAATCAAAACTCTGATCTCTCTCTCTCCACCAATTTCCATCTCAATCAGTTTCCTCCAGCCAAAATGCACAAAGTGACTTCAACTTCGTCGCTGGGTCCGGGCGGCCTGGACCTAACCCAGTCCTTCTTCAAGCCGATCCAGAACACGGCCCCTCCGTCCCCCACAAAGCGGCACACCAAGATCTCCGTCATCGGCGTCGGCAACGTCGGAATGGCCATCGCGCAGACCATCCTCACCCAGGACCTAGCCGACGAGCTCGCCCTCGTCGACGCCGTAAAAGACAAGCTCCGCGGCGAGATGCTCGACCTCCAGCACGCCGCTGCTTTCCTTCCGCGCACCCAGATCCTCTCCTCGACCGATTACTCCGTCACCGCCGGATCTGACCTCTGCATCGTCACCGCCGGCGCCCGCCAGAACCCGGGAGAATCCAGGCTCAATCTTCTTCAGCGGAACGTCGGCCTCTTTAAGAAGATCATCCCTCCATTGGCGCAGCTTTCCCCCGACGCGATTCTCCTAATCGTTTCGAATCCGGTCGATGTGCTCACTTATGTAGCGTGGAAGCTCTCCGGGTTCCCCTCGAATCGGGTCATCGGGTCGGGCACTAACTTGGATAGCTCCCGGTTCAGGTTCTTGATCGCTGACCATCTCGATGTCAATGCCCAGGACGTCCAGGTAAAACCAACAGTTCATTTCATTGAGGTCCATGAACTCTGAAGTTACCATTTGGTCTCAATTGGATTTGCAAGAACATATCATCCATTGTGCTAAATCGTCATCATAAATCGAAAGCATAACCTCTCAATTCAAAGATCTGATACCAATTGATCGAACAAACCACTTAGTCCCATTAACTCGTCGAATTGAAAACTCCAAACCCTTTTCACTTGCAGGCGTACATAGTGGGGGAGCACGGCGACAGTTCAGTGGCGCTGTGGTCGAGCATAAGCGTGGGCGGGGTGCCGATCCTGAGCTTCCTGGAGAAGCAGCAGATCTCGTGCGAGAAGGAGACGCTGGAGAGGATCCACAAGGAGGTGGTAGGTTCCGCGTACGAGGTGATCAGTTTGAAGGGATACACGTCGTGGGCGATTGGGTACTCGGTGGCGAATCTGGCGTTTTCGATCCTGCGAAACCAGAGGAAGATCCACCCGGTCACCGTAATGGCCAATGGGTTCCACGGCATCGAAGCCGCTGGCGGCGGTGGCGAAGTAGGGGAGGTGTTCTTGAGCCTACCGGCTCTGCTGGGGAGAGGCGGCGCCTTGGCGGTGACGAATGTGCACATGACGGAGGAGGAGGCGCAGCGGCTCAGGGACTCGGCCAAGACTCTGCTCGAGTTGCAGAGGCAGTTGGACTTGGAGGTTTAAGATGAGAGTGGTAACTTGTAAGTTGTAAGTCATTTGGGAGATTCATGTGTACATATAACGAAACGAGTTGTTGCGTAGTTTGCAAGTGTTTCTGTCTCCCACGTCATCCGTAGACCGTAGTTGGCTTTGGTATTCCACGTAGTTGAGAATGCTTTGATCGGGGGAGTTTTCCTTTACAAGAATTCAGTGAAGAAGAGAGTGCTTCTATGCTCTCTTTGATATGCTAATGGGGGTTACTCTGTTTTGTTGTTAACGATAGAGAAATCAAATGTGGACTGAAACACATTAAAAAAAAAACAATTTGTACTGTGAATAACCTGTGAAAAGAGTTGTCATGGGGCCAAATTAGTCACAAGATGAACTCTCATATTTACGTTGATCTAAATATATGTGAAAAGAGGGTTCAAGGAGCCTCCGTCTATGAAGTTTCGATTGATCACCAGCTCTTATTCTCGTTCTAAGATCACCTTATGTTGTAAGTACCCTTTCGTCGAGCCTGAAAGAGCTCAGAAATCCTGAGTTTCCATTATGTGAGAAGTGTACATTTATAGCAGCTGAAAGCTGTTACAGAAGGACCAAAACCTACGGAAAAGGCAGAAACAGATTGCCTGGAATTGTGTAACAGAACATAAACAAAATGAGAGAAGTGGGGAAGTGGGCTGCCGAGATGTGTGGAGTTGTGCTGCTCTATCACGCCCCCGCAAGTGGAACCTCGGAGAGGTGAAACTTGGAGCAGAAACGATTAACGGTAGCAGATAGGTAATGGACTTGAAGTGGCCTCTGGGTGATTAGCTTTCTCTTGGAAATCGACATGGAGGCGTACTGCCTCCCGGTAGAAGTCTCGATGCAGATGTAAGTAACCCCAAATTGGCCCAGACCCAGTTCTTTCCTGATCTTGTAGTGGAGCTTGACGTCCTCTTACGTCTTCCTTAAGATGGTGTCGGGTCTTCGGGCCGGCTTCGGGCTTGGTGGAGTGAGGATACCGAGCTTCATGGTGCCGCCTTGGCTTATGCAGTGACCCATTTAATATCCAGCTGCTGCTACTAGCTTATCAAAATTCTGGATAAGCCAGGGGAAGAAGAAGAGGAGTAGAAGAAAGAAGTCGTGAGGGGTTGAATTGAAGTGGGGGAGGGTGAGTTTTGATGAGAAGAAAGATGCAATGATGCAAGAGTAACGACCCAGAAGAGGAACTGGAAAGAGGTGATGGGATTTCACGCTTACGTGTAACCAAATCTCAAAGGAAGAAAAATAAGGAAGAAGCAAACAATCTTTCTATGGGAAGAGTAGGACTACGAGAAGAATAAAGAAGAAGTGAGAGATGGAAGGAGGAAGTTGAGATACCCACGTTGAAGGGGAATAGAGAAGATGAGATATGGATAGATGATTCAATGATGTCATCAGACATGGCCGCAGCGAAGAGGAGAGGCAAGAACAAATAGGATTTGAAAGAAAGAGGAAGCATGAGAGTGAGATGAAAAACAGAGAGTCACAAATGGGAGTAGACCCCGCTAGACAAGTTGAAAAGAGAGACATAATGTAGAGAGTTGATTTTGGAGAGTGGGGGAAGAAAGATATATTGTAGAGAGGAGAGATTGACTAATGTTGCGGCAGACAAGTAGAAGGAGAGCCTCGTAGGAGTTTAACTGTTTAAGTTTGTTTGGGACGAAAGGAAGAAGGAAGAGGAGAGCGAATATGATGAAGTAGGGATTTATGGCGTTGGCAGCAGTGGGAGGGAGAAGGAGAGAAGTTGTGGCCGCTAGAGGGATTATTAAGACTGTTGCGAGTGTCGCTGCGAGATTGGGGAGTAGAAGAAGTTGCAGGCGATTAGTAAAATCTACAGTCGCCATTGATTGAACAGAGGAGAGGAGATGCAGATCAGGGAGATGACGGGAAGAAGCTAGAGAGGCAGCATGTCTCATTAGGAAGAAGAAAAAGAAAAATAGAAGAGGGAATTATGTGGACAACTAGCAAAAATAGGGATTTAGTTGCGTGGATGATGGGTGAAGGCTTGGAAGCCTGGAGAATGGGAACTCATCCCGCCAGCAGGGGAAAAAATAGAAGCTTTTAGAGTTGTTGGATCGATTAGCTGTTAAGCAAGTGCTCTGATACCATGAAAGAGCTCAGAAATCCTGAGTTTCCATTATGTGAGAAGTGTACATTTATAGCAGCTGAAAGCTGTTACAGAAGGACCAAAACCTACGGAAAAGGCAGAAATAGATTGCCTGGAATTGTGTAACAGAACATAAACAGAATGAGAGAAGTGGGGAAGTGGGCTGCCGAGATGTGTGGAGTTGTGCTGCTCTATCAGAGCCAACACCACCCGCCGCTTCCTTCGATTCCCACCTCGGCTTACCATCCATACAAAAACTGTTTGTTGTTGGTCGATTCTTTCATCGTCCCAGGCCACCAAATCTTCACTTTCTGATTCCCCAACCTACCCACTCATTGCGCCTTATTGTCGATGATAGAATTAGATCAATTTTAATAGAGATATTTGAGAAATTGGTACAAATGTCAACATTACAATCCTTTTGAGCTTTGGACTCTACCCTTTTATGAGTATCAATAATCAAATATCTCATTTACAAATGACACATTTGAGCTAAAATGTGTCATTTTAAAACACCCGTTGGGCGGCTCAAGTTAGGGTGCATAATCTGCACCCTTCATTTAGAAAATTCAGATATAAGGATGGATAATTAATGGTCATTTTTATTTTCACTAGCTTTCTTAATTGACTCATATCTTTTTCGTTTTAACTCGGATTTTAATTTTTTTTGCACAGATGGAACGAGTTCATCGTGCTCTACAAAATGAGATCAATTTTCAATATTTTTTGAGGAAAAAAAATTCTGGCCTCTCGGTACCAACTGCATACCATATGGTATCTTCTTCGTTTTTAATTCGTTTTTGAAAACGTTTGCACAGCAGGGATGAGTTCATCATGATCTATTGGTTCTACAAATTTCTGGGTGAACAAATTACAAGACAAAAAAATATCACACAATACCATACAATACCACCCTGGTACGGGGTGGTATCTTATGGTATCTTATGGTATACAATGTTAAAAGTCGTAAATGACAATTAATATACTTCTACTATCATGTATTCAACCATCCTACAGTTTTGGTTTGTGTCATACCACCATGGTACGCTTTTCAAACCATAGGTATGCTCTTATTTCAATACCAGTCAATACCATATGGTATAGACTGGTATAAAATAGTTCAATTTTTTTTGTTCGAAAAATATATCAAAGTGGATATCATTTTGAAGAACACAATTAATCTGATCTAACTGTGCAAAAAAAATTAAATTTCGACTTAAAACGAGTAAGAAATCGTCCGTCAAAGATTAAGGATGAGAAAATTAAAGGCTTTCAGGAGAGAGAGCTTGCTGATGTGGACGGGTTACTCATAATTACTCACCATAAGATTACTGACCTGATCCGTTCCTCGTTGGGCGGTTGATGGCACGTCATGTAGCTTTGGGCTCAAAGTTTAACCCAGCCCATGATTTGAGTTAGTTTCTCACTTCTCATTGCAAACGACATCGTTTGACCTTTGCCGTTACGAACCCAGATCCATTCCATCAAGTCATCAAATCACTGAATCAGAGCAAAAGCAAGAAAGAACAAGGCAGATTGACGGAAACACTCTAGGGGAAGAAATATGGCAGGAAGACTGAGCAACTTTGCTTCACGGATCATGGGAGGGAACGGCGTCGTGATGCGGTCTGCCGCCGCCTCCCTCCGCGGCCGCGCCGGGATGGGACTCCCCGTCGGCAGACACATCGTCCCCGATAAACCAGTCAGTAACCCCTCCCCTACATCTCTCTCTCCATTTCTTCGCGATTCCTTGAATCCCTAAATCCGATTGATTGTGCCTTTCATTGTTGTTTGCGATTCCAGCTGGCGGTAAATGACGAATTGGTTTGGGACAACGGTACCAACCTTCCAGAGCCTTGTATCGATCGAATTGCTGATACTGTTGGAAAGGTAAACGCTTTCCTTTCGTTTCGTGTCTTCTCTATTTGTTTTTTTGCTTCATTCTGTTGCTTCCTTCTGAACCCCTTTGGTGTCTGGTTTCAATTTTGGGGTTGTTGATGGCAGTACGAAGCTTTGGCTTGGTTGTGTGGAGGTTTGAGCTTCTTTGCGTCATTGGGGTTAATGGCTGTGTGGAATGACAAAGCATCTAAGATACCCTTTGTAAGTCGTGATATACTTTCCTTGACTCTGAACATTTCGCCTTAGCAATTGGCAGCATTATCAAGAATTTTGAATTTGTTGGAAATCAGTAGCGTGAGTGTAAACTTACTTTGTGCAGATTGAACTTGAATCCACTGTTTTTGACTAGTTGGGGTGGTGAAATGCTCCCGTTGTTGACTGGTTTTGTTTTGTTTTGTTTTGATTTGGAAAGGATTGTATGATTGAACTTCCAAAATAGCGAAGATTTAGACCAAACACCTGGTTGTGTAGTTTCTTTTGCTTGATACAAGGAAATGGGTTACGTTGTTTATCCTTTGCATTGGTAATTGGTATGTACTATTTCTATCTGACTAGTGCAGTAGGAACTAGGAAGTATTAGAAAGCCACACACGCATATAGTGATATGCAGTATCACTTGTTTTTCTTTTATGGTGCATGTAATGTTTAAGGATTAGTATAGTTGTTACAATGGTGATATGCAGTATCACTTGTTTTTCTTTTATGGTTCAGACAGGCTACTAAATTGCGAATTTGAGCTTTGAGGTTTATTCAATTGTGAAAGATCAGAGTCTACTATATGATGTGGAGGTCATTAGGGAATGTGAGATCACAAAGAGAAGTGAATCATCATAGCTGATTAGACCAATCAGTGATCATAAATGTTGTGATCTAACAGCAACCAAGTTATAATGGCATGTCTCGTTCGGGAGACTTTTGTTTCGTAGAAGCATAACGTGTGTTTGTTGAGGCTCTCTGTGGAGGCATCTATGCTTGTTTGTCAATTAAGTTTGGCTGGATCCAAAATTAATATCACCTTTTGCATGTACTGCTCAGTACAAGGCCTTAAGAGTTTCATGATAAGAATAGCAATGCTATCCAGTGTGATCTCGGCATATAACAAGGTCCTCTGATAGAACTTCTATTGTGACTCACGTTTTGAGTAATATGCTATGTGCAAGGAATATGGAGGGATATTCTAACCTTCATATTCCCCCCTTACATCAGGAACACATTATTATGCTTCTTAGCTACGAGGTGAATGCTTAATGATGGAATTTGATTTATAACTTCCATTTCTTTCTAACATGCACAGTCAAGTGGCATTGCTGAT